AACACTCTCTCAACAACCTAACCCACAAGTACAACACCCTCAACACCCACACCCACAACACCCACAACACCCACAACACCCACAACACCCACAACACCCACGACACCCACAACACCCACAACACCCACAACACCCACAACACCCACAACACCCACAACACCCACAACACCCACAACGCATCCACCCGGAACATAGCCTCTTTATCTCCAACATAGCACTTCTATCCTTCTTCCATCAACGACCACCCAAAACCAAAGCCATGTCTCCCGCTCGCCGCGCTCTCATCAGCATCACCTCGGCCTAGGCCAAGGTCTTCCAGGGCACCGAAACCACCGGCCTCTTCATCAGTGAGGGCCTGCACCCCTTCTGCGTCCTCGCCGCCGCGGGCTTCGAGGTCGACCTCGCCTCCGAGACGGGCAGCTACACCCCGGGACTGGCTCTCCCAGCAGCCCGACTTCCTCCACGGCGAGGACCTGGCCATCTGGAACGACACCAACAGCGACTTCCGCAGGAAGCTCGACAACATGCCCAGGGGCCGCCGACCTCGACGCCTCGCAGTACGGCGTCTTCTACGCCTCGGCCGGGCCACGCCGCCCTGATCGACTACCCGACCGCCACCGGCCCTGCAGAAACATCGCCCTCGGCAGGTCTGGGCTAATGGTGGTGTGGTGGGCGTCGGGTCTGCCCACGGCCCGGGCTCCTCTTTGCCGGCGTGCTGGATCTGGCGAACGAACGAAGCCGCTTATCAAGGGAAAGACGATCACGGGGTTTACGACCGAGGCTGAGAACACCATGGGCATTATGGCTGATTTGAGGTCGTGGGGGAGCACTATGGTGGAGGAGCTTGCTGAGCAGTTGGGGGCAGAGTGTATGTTTTGCATGATATCTCCTGGCGCTTTGGTTCAAAATACTAATTCCTTCTTAGACAAACGCGCTCCTGGCATCTGGGATGACTTCCACGTTGTTGACGGCCGCCTCGTTACTGGGCAGAACCCTGCGAGCGCGACGTCGACTGCTCATGCTGTGGTGGAGGTGTTTGAGACCCTCTGATTTGGGGTGGCTGGTTGCTTTTCCTTTTTTTTTTTTCTGTTTCCTTGAGATGTGTACATAGATTATTGGGTTATCGGATGAATATGAAGTGATTCGCTCTTATTTGTGACATTTCCACTTTCTTCGGCCGTATCATCTAATACCTAACCTAGAAGTAGGTTACGCAAAGCAACGAAATGGGGTTCACAGAAACGCTGGTTGTTTGAAAACAGAGCAATGACAATTATTTTCTTTTATCGCTAGGTGTTTTCTAAGACGGCATGGCAGGAAATTGCGCCTGCAGGTCGGTTGTCAGATAATCGTTGTAAAGCTGAAAGTACACCTCCCTAATCAGGGGAACTCAAGCGTCCCCGTCTCCTACCAACAACACAAAACCGAGGGATGAATCTACTTTACGACGCCCAAGATTGGCGGATTAAATGCATTTTCTGAGTCCCTCGGGTCATTTGCACGGCTAAGAGTGCAGCTAGCATCGCGATCTGACAGGCCCGCTTCCTTGTTCGTCATTAGTAGTTTCTCCTCCCCTCTCCTCTCCTGTGTTGATCCCACCGTCACAGTAGCCCATCCCCCGCCACAGCCGATGCGCGCGAATCGGGTGGGTTACTAGCGAGCCGGGTTAAACCGTCTACTACCTAAAGTCGGTAATTACCCTGACCAACCCAAGCAATCACCAAACATCTCCCTCCCGGGTTCTCGGGAACAACGCCCGGTGCAATGTTGTTTGTGCATAAAAAGGGGGTCACCAACAAGGCAAGTCACCCACCCGGGCCACCCCTCCCGCCGCAACCACAACCGCAAGTGATCGCAGATCGCATGTGGGTACCTCCTTAATCGTTGCCAACATGCTATTCGCAGCCTTGCTCGTCCTGGGCTCCGCCGCCGTCGACGCCGCCACCGTGTGGGATGGCTCGCGCTTTGCCTGGTACAACACGGACGCCGGGAATGACTTCAAGAGCGCCTTGCCCATCGGAAACGGGAGGTTGGGGGCTGCTGTCTTTGGTACGCCCACGGAAAAGCTGGTGCTAAATGAGAACTCGGTCTGGAGCGGCGGGTTTCTGGACCGGGCGAACTCGAGATCCAAGGATGCCGTCCCCAAGATCCGGCAGATGTTGATCGCCGGGGACATCACCGGCGCCGGCCAGTCGGCGATGGATAACATGGCAGCCAACCCGACCTCACCGAGGGCGTACAACCCGCTGGTTAACATGGGTATTGACTTGGGGCACGGCTCTGGGATCGGATCCTACACGCGCTGGCTGGACACGCTCGAGGGGACCGCCGGCGTCAACTACCTCCAGGGCGGCACCAACTACAGGTGAGATACCGTTCAGTATGTGAGTTTATGCTTGAAGCGGACGCTGACAGTTACAGCCGTGAATATGTGGCCAGCTACCCCCATGGCGTTCTCGCTATTCGCCTCACCGCCAGTGCCCCGGGCAAGCTCAACGCCAAAATCTCACTGTCCCGTAGCAAATGGGTGACATCTCAAACGGCCAAGACTGATAGCGGTACGGGCGGTCACAAAGTCACATTGAGCGGCAACAGTGGCTCTGACGCCCTTGCTTTCTGGTCCGAAGCTCGGGTGGTGAATTCAGGGGGTGTGTATCACCCGAAAGGGCTGTTACCGTATTCTATGGTGGCTGACTCTCACATAGGCACTGCCACTTCTCCCGACGGCAAATCCATCTCCATCTCTGGCGCCAACACGGTTGACATATTCTTCGACGCCGAGACGTCGTACCGATATGCCGATGCTACCGCGGCGCAGGCCGAGCTGAAGCAGAAGCTCGACGCTGCCACGGCCGCGGGCTACCCAGCCGTTCGTAGCGCCGCCATCGAAGACTTCAGCAGTCTCATGAGCCGCGTAAAGCTCGACCTCGGGTCCTCGGGCGACGCCGGACGGCAGCCCGTCACTACCCGACTGCAAAATTTCAAGAACAACCCCAACGCCGACCCCCAGCTGATGACGCTCATGTTCAACTTTGGCCGCCACCTCCTCGCCTCGTCCTCGCGCGACACGGGTCCGCGCTCGCTGCCGGCCAACCTGCAGGGCCTCTGGAACCAGGACTACGACCCGGCGTGGCAGAGCAAGTACACCATCAACATCAACCTCGAGATGAACTACTGGCCCGCGCTGGTCACCAACCTAGCCGAGACGCAAAAACCCGTCTTCGACCTCCTCAACGAGGCCATCCCGCGCGGCAAGGCCGTAGCCAAAACCATGTACGGCTGCAACGACGGCTTCGTCCTCCACCACAACACCGACCTCTGGGGCGACGCGGCCCCCGTCGACAAAGGCACCCCCTACACCATCTGGCCCATGGGCGCCGCCTGGCTGTCGGCCGACGCCATGGAGCACTACCGGTTCACGCAAAACAAAACCTTCCTCTCCACCACCGCCTGGCCCATCCTCCGCGACGCCGCCCGCTTCTTCCACTGCCACCTCTTCCAATGGAACGGCCACTGGACCGCCGGCCCCTCCCTCTCCCCGGAACACGCCTTCACCGTCCCCCAAGGCCAAGGCCTCTCCCAGCCGGGCCGCTCCGAAGGGCTCGACCTCTCCATCGAAATGGACAACCAGCTCCTCCACCAGCTCTTCATCAACATCGCCCAAGCCTGCACTCTGCTCTCTCTGCCCCCCACCAACCCGGACTGCGCCGCCAAAAAAAAAAAACATAAAAAAGAAAAAGAAAAAAAAAAAAAAAAAAAAAAAAAAAAAAAAAAAAAAAAAAAAAAAAAAAAAAAAAAGAAAAAGAAAAAAAAGAAAAAAAAAAAAAAAAAAAAATCTAAAGAAAAAGAAAAAAAAGAAAAAGAAAAGAAAGTAAAAAAAGAAAAAAAAAGGAAAAAAAAAAGAAAAAAAAGAGAAAAAAAAAAAGAAAAATAAAAAAAAAAAAAAAAAAAAAAAAAAAAAAAAAAAAGATTTAAATAAGAAAAAAATAAATAATAATAAAGAAAAAATAAAAAAAAAAAAAAA